CTCTCAAGTAACCAAGTGAGACTCCCCCGTAACCGTCATAATCTTTTCCAAGCTATTACTCACCAAAACCAGGATTTTAAATAGAGAAAGCTTTGAAGCAGCTTCTGGCCTTAGTATCAACTACAGTTTGTCAAAAATTTTGGGGATAATGTTGATCATCGTACCCTGACAGAAGCTGCTGCCATTTTTTCTTGCCCAATGGAAACTTGCCAGCCTCTTAAACCTTCCTATCTACTAATCTTTCTTTGAAATTCCAGTAGGGGCAACAAATAGTCTTGAGAAGCTCATAATGAAATTTCTGTAGGAAGGTCCTAACTCCTAAGATGAAAGGTAAGATGCATCTTGTCAACTGGAATAAATTATAGCTCCCTCTAGATAAAGGAGGTTTGGGAATTGAGAATATCAGGAAGAGGAACCAAGCTTTACTATCAAAATGGCATTGAATTACCTAAATGAGAATTTACCTCTCTGGAAAAACCTGATTATGGCCAAATATGGAGTTTCCAACATTGACTCATGGCCTGTTAATAGCCCTCTGTCTTTTAAAGGCCCCTGGGCTGGAATCATCAAACATGTTACATGTGTGAAATACAGAGCCAAATGCAAAATTGGTAGCGGAAATACAGTGAGTTTCTGGAAAGATCGATGGGCCTCAATTATTCCCTAGCAGAGGAATGTCCTCGTTTATATGCCATTTCAAGCAAGGAAAGAAGCTCGAGTTTGCAATGTATGGTTGCATAATGCTTCCCCTTAGGATTACCATTTTAGAAGGCCTCTTAAAGATGACGAGATTGTTGATTAACTGATTCTTTCAAAGAAACTGGTATCTATCTTTCCATCATCTTCGGAGGATAAGTGGTTATGGCCAACCGACTCCAAAAATACTTTCTCAGTCAAATCTATTATGAATGAATGAACTGCAAAATAGGTGTCTCTTTGCCATGCTTCGTTTGAGAATATTTGAAAGGAGAGATTCCAAAAAGGTGAAATTCCTTATTGGGGAGATCCATCACCAAGCCAAAAATACCCAAGACAGATTGCAACAAAGACTTCCTACTCTTGCCATCTCTCCAAATTGTTGTATTATGTGCTATAATGGAGCACAAACACAAGACCACCTTTTCGTATTGTGTCATTTTGCTCAAAAGTTCTGGACTTATATGATTGAGGTTTTTGGATTGCAATCTCCTTTGCATTCGAACATCACAACTGTGCTACAGGCATCCTTTGGGGGACACCCTTTTAAGAAAGAGAAAGAGAATCTATGGTCTATTTTTTTTGGAGCCTTCATTTGGTGTTCCTGAAGGGAAAGGAACAACAGAACTTTCAACGACAAATTCCAACCATTCAACAAATTCTTGAACAATGTTTTGGTCTTACTTTGAATGATCTTTTGATGAGTTGGACGGCATTTTTATATCTCTTCTCCTTATGGGTCCTTTCATCTTTTGTATATTTCATCTTTGCGTTTCTCATTAAAAAAAAAAAACAGAGAGAGAAAGGAAGTAAGTTGGAATTTCATTTAAGACATAAATGGTGTAAGTCTTACTCCCTTAGGAAATAAGGCCCTTTTCCAAGAGGAAAGGCACTTTTGAATCTTTTCCAAGACTGGACTCCAAAAAGGCACGCCCTTCAGATCCAGAGGAAGCCTAGGTAAGAGGCACCTTACAATTCACCAAAGAAGCCCAAGTGCTCACCTTGGAAGATTCACAATTAACATCGATGATTGAGCTCTTTTCTCTATTAATCTTAAGGCTCAAGATAGGTTAAAAAAAAGGAAACAAATGGTTCAGAATAATAAAATAACTTTCCTCACCTGAGCTAAAGAATATCATTTGCAAATTGAAGGTGCGAAAAGTGAGTTCTCTTCCTCCCCACATGGAAACCCTCCACACACCCCTTCTCCACTCCACTAGAGACCAATTTGCTAGGATCACCTTGCCTAAGGCCCCTAGAAGTCAGAGTCTTACCCCTTTGGTGTACCATTA